TGACTCTTAGGGCTTGGCTGCACTACTCGTGAAATGTGCAAAATTAGAATGAATCTTCTGCAGAACGTGGAATAATACGCCACCATATGTTTTGTCTTTTGTGCATTTGGTGAGTGAAGGCCCTTAGGGCCACTGCACGTATTCCTAAGAAAAGAAAAACGAGAAAAGAAAAGAAAAGCGAGAAAACAGAGAAATAGTGACCCATAACCGACATGCACAGACCTGAATTCGAATCCAGACTATATATCCTCTGCCCACCCTCAGGGAGTACAAGTTTGAAGTGTATCTCTGCATGACGTCGGGTCCTGGCTAATATGCTGTAGGGATCCTTCTGAAAAGAGGCTGGACACAACGAGGACACTTTTGTTTTCTACTTTTTTAATGCGGCGCATCACTTGTGCGTGCCTGCATGCGCGTGCGGCACCCCGCCCATGAGATGCGCTGCAAGTATGATTCGAACACATCTCTCTCTCTCTCTCTCTCTCACACACACACACACACACACACACACACACACTAAGGGGGTCCGAAAGGGGTCCAAAATCCCCCGACAGGTAAGTGCGCTGGGGGGGGCCGGCGCCCGACTGGGTGCCCTGCCCGGCCAGGCCGCCCGGGACCTCCCCCGGGCCTCTGCCGGTCACTCGGGCGGCCCGGATCCCCACTTAGTATTTTATATTTATTATTATTATTATTATTATTATTATTATTATTATTATTATTATATGATTATTATTATTATTATTATTATTCCTATTATTATTACTGAGAAAGGGTTTCACTCAGTTCGCACGACAATTGCAAATACCAGGACTCGACCCCCAGATCTCCCCTAGCCCACTGTACAGTTGTCCATTGACCCTGTGTGTTTTGAACCCGTGACCTGTCCCCAAAACCGTGTATCAAATTACTATCAATGTCTTGCGTATACGAGGCGGGGCATGTGGGGTTTGATCCGTAGGTCAGTCATTTAGTCTTAGGTTCGTCCGTAAGATTCCGGAAAAGGCAAGTTTACAGTTGACCTTTCCAGAGGTTAACTTGACCTTTGGGAGTCAATAGGAGGCAGACCATCGGTCTCTGAAAGGTCAAGAGTCCCCAGTCAGCCCCGAAGGGGCACAGGTATAGGCAGTCCCAGTCCAACAGCAAGTACCACAGTGGAACTGCACGTCCAAGGGCCTGGGACCGGGCAGACCAGACCACCAAACAAAACAGTATAAATAAAGAGGGAGCGCCCAGCCATTCATTCATTCGCCTGCGAGTTACGTGGAAGCGCTGCTTGACTGACTTGTGAGTTGGGTCACAGGTGGTCAGTAGGAACCCCGAAGGTGGAAGAGGGCGAGCGGCCATAGCCGCCATTGAGGACGAAGACGATGGCGGCCATAGCCGCCAATGTGACGAAGTCAGCAGTTACTGTGTGTGTGTATGTGTGCGTAGACAGTCAGGGTAGATCCTAGTGAATGTGTACGTGTGTGTGAGTGAGTGTGAGTGTGTCTGATAGTGAATACAATGTTCCGTGGGAATTTCAGACAGGCACTCAGATGCCATAGCCGCAAGATGTGACAAGTTGACTTCAGCTAAGTTCCTGGCTGAAGGCCATATCTCTGAGTTTTCTGTGTGGCCGCACTTCGCCATCTCACGCTTGTTGCTGATTTTACTTTGTGTTGCCATCAGCACCTGCATGTATGCATGTTGCAGTAGTATCGGAGCTGGTTCCCGTTGTCAGCGCAAGCGTCACGGAAGTCAGAGGAGGCGAAGAAGAAGCCGACTGACGCGAAGAAGATGGTGACTATAGTGAGAGATGGACATGCGTGAGCAAGGAAGACCGCCATAGTGGATGGCAGCCATAGCTGCCAGCTTGGAGAAGAAGAAGAAGAATGATGGGAGAGAAAGAGAGGTGACGAAGAAGGTGGTAGCAGCCATAGCCGATGGAGAGGAAGAAGAAGTTGGCCATAGCCAAGCTTGAGGATGAAGAAGAAGAGGGCAAAGTTGATGAAGGTGACAAAGGGAGAGGAAGCCGCCATAGTCGGGTCGTTAACAGGTTGACCGAAGCATTGACCGGAGTTGACCGGAGTGTTGACCGGCATTGACTGTCGTTGACCAGGGTTGACCGGGGTGGTCAAGGCATTGACCGGTGCAGTTAACCACGCTGGAGTGCGGAGCGAGGGTATAATCCCTTCAAGCCCTAGCCCTTGTCCTTCATGCTCCGCGGATGTGCACACTCACCTGGTACTTGCTGCAGTAGAGTCTGTTTCGCAGAGTCTGTCATCTCTTTCTGCATTGAGTCACTCCTGTTACATTCTGCGACTTCACACGGGCCTTCACAGGCCAGACATACCGGTTCAGGGGGGTACCCAGGCCGGCCTCGCCAAAAGCCAGGCCTTTTCCCCCGGTAGGCCCTGTTAGGCCACCGGTTGGCGCCTCAGCGCCTAGCAGACCAGGTCTGGCCCAAACGACATGACCGTTTGGGCCTGGCGGCGCTCTTGAGGCTGCCGCCCGCCAGTCTGAGCTGAACGGTGATTTCGACGGTTCAGCCCACGGCGCAGGAGGCCAGCATCAAGGCCGATCGGCTGCCGGACGGTACTTAGGCCGGTCCAGCGGCCATTCCCACATCTTGGAACAGCAGCAGCTAGGAGCAGCGCTGCGCCAACTTGGGATTAGCGCAGCTCCGAGCGCAGCAGCGCTATTTCGTGCTGACTGGCGAGTAGAGGTGGTAGAGGGAGGTACTCACCGACTTACCTGTCGGCGCCATACTCCAGGTTGAAGTCGCGGGTCTTCGACAGCTCCAAGGCACCGCCTTGCACCTGCAGGTAAGAGCCGGGCACGAATCCGGGAGTGAGGCACACCCTCCTCCCTGCCTCACCATCTCCACCTTTCTCCTCTGCCCCTCTCCATCTTCTTCCTCTTCTTCTTCAAACTTCTTTCTCTTCTTCTTCTTCCAACTTATTCTTCTTCTTCTTCTTCTTCAGATTGGAGACTTTGATACAAGTTGGACAGAGATCAGTGTTTGGACTTCGGTGGTAAGAGGCTGTGATACTTACCGGATTCGAGACCTCGGAGATAGTTGGGATTGATACTCGGTGGCATCACAGATTGGGCACCGGTTACATTAGGACTTTGTACCTCCGACATTGGTGAATTATTGTCCACGACATTCTGATCTTTGTCCGGTGACATTTTGGACCACCATATCGGTGACCTTCTGGATTCTATCTCGGTGACATCTGGCGCTGCCTATACCTCCGTCTCTACTCCCGCCTTTCATCTGTGTATGGTTGTACGGGGCCTGAAGCATCGTCTATGATTGGCTTCAGACCCCACCATCTCCGATTGCTTGTGTGTTGAGTGATGTCTGGATGAGTTCAGTCTATGTGAGTCAGTCCATTTCTCAGACTTCCGCTGCATACATGCTCATCCTATACTGGTTGATCTTTGGTTCTTCCCATACTTGGTGAAGTATTCACTAGTATGCAACACTCCTGTCCAGGTTTTACAGGTTCCATGCATGTGGTCTCCTAGAGGCTGAGGGGCCGATATCTGCACGGGACTCGAAGTTGTTAGTTCTTTTCATTTTTTTCTTCTGTTCTCACAGCGGGCCCACAGGGCCCATTTGTTTCCATTTTTTCAGTTTCTTATTGCCGGCCTCTGACCCCGTGCCGAACCCCCGAAAAATGCGGTATAGACCGTATAGGTTATTTTTAATATTTTATTAATTTAATATTTTCCCAAATGGAACTACAGCTAGGAAAAGTAGTGGTTCTATTTTTTTTTTTGGTTAATATTATTAGTATTTATTAAAGAATACATATATACCTTCATGCTGGATTGCATAACTTCCACGTATCGATCAATCAGCGCATCCAGAGCACCAGTCTCGGCGCAGACTTGAGCAACACCGTCGTCAACACCAAGACTTAGCAGCTGGTCTTCGTACTGAGACTCCCATCCAATAATCTGTTCGGCTCGGCACACATATGCAACAACAAACAAGGAGAATGATAATAAATCAGGAACAAAATTCATTAAATCGACAGAATGACAACGGGTGATCGTCAGCTTTTGGCATTCTGTGGAGTTGATCGGCAGAGTTTCGAATTCTGCCGCGATTCCATTATTCTTTACCCAAATTTTGGAAGATGCAAGAGAATATAATCGGCACAAGCGTTTTGAATTCTGGCACTCGTTTGCGATTTTCAGCTCATTTACTTTAATTCATTCCTTTTTTTGACAGGGTAGAATAAATGTGGGTTCCCTCCATGAATCTGTATAGCCCTCTTACTTGCTGCTGGAAATTCTACAAACCCTTCTGAATGCAGCTTTCTTCTTACGGTTTTACCCTTCTCATGTGACGGTTTAAACCACCGGTACATCCGAATAAGCAGATTGAGCCTCTCGTAAAAAATTGGAGGCCATGGACCATCGATAAAATGAATCGGCGGTTCATGGCCTCCTAATTTTAAGGAGAGGCTCAATCTCCTTTTCCGTATGTACTGGTGGTTTAAGGACCTCGTTAACCTAAAGGAGGCTCGTGGACAGTTGGCTGATTTTTCAGATCCATCATAGAAACATTCATGTTAAGAATTTTTTTTAGATGGATCATGTAGGCTACCAGAGTGGCCTGGGACGACTTGCCCAGCTGGGCCAAAAATATCTAAAATTGTTACCCTGAGGCAAAGTTGTTCAGATTATTATTTCGCTGCGATTTCTGCATACCATTTCTTTTCTCAAACTTT